AAACAACTTGTCATGTTTGGAGAGTGAATGCTGAGTTGCATCTAAAGAACACCAAACCTACTGTGAAGCACGGGGGTGGCAGCATCATCCTTTGGCACTGTTTCTCTACAAAGGGACCAGGACGACTGRTCCGTGTACATGAAAGAATGAATGGGGCCATGTATCATGAGATTTAGAGTGCAAACCTCCTTCCATCAGCAAGAGCATTGAAGATGAAACGTGGCTGGGTCTTTCACCATGACAACTATCCCAAGCACACCACCAGGGCAACGAAGGAGTGGCTTTGTAAGAAACATTTCAAGGTCCTGGAGTGGCCTAGCCAGTCTCCAGATCTCAACCCCATAGAAAACCTTTGGAGGGAGTTGAAAGTATGTGTCGCGCAGCAACAGCCCCAAAACATCATGCTCTAGAGGAGATCGGCATGGAGGAATCCAGTTTTCACCTCCTGTATCATGACTGAGTAATTTGTGAAATGCTGGTTGTTTGTAGTGAAGTAGTCAATGGTAGATCTTCAGGGGGTTTGTCACCAGTAGCTGATACAAAGCCAGCAAACCCTGCAACAAGTTGCTCTATTCCACTACTCCCCACCACTTGGACAAGTAACCAGACACGATGCAGTTTGAGTAGACGTTGTTGTTTGTGGAAAAAAACTGCTCCTTCAGGCAAAGGTGCTTTATTTGTCATCAATGCATGTTCACATGCAAGGATGAAATTTGTTTTCTGCATTTGACCCATCAAACATGAGAAACACCCAAGTGGAGCAGCAGGCAGCTACTGTATGTGAGTGCCTGGGGAGCAGTTGGGGGTTGGGTGTCTTGCTCAAGGACACCACCATATGTGGGTATGGCGGGGAGTCGAACCTCTGACTTTCTGGTCCTAAGTCAGCTCTACCACTACACCACAGCCATCCTCAACTTGGGTCCAGTTCGGTTATAGATACAGAAGGGGTTTAGGTTTCAGGTGTATCTACCTTCAAAGAGCGTGTCTTTTTCCATTCAGAGAGAGGAAACTTTATTTGATTTTCCAGAGAGTTGGGAACATCAAATCCAGCTTCACCTCCTGTATCATGATCCCACTAGTCCAGTTACCCATTGGAGGCATGGATGTTTGTAGTTATTTTCTTCAGATTGTCCCACTCAAGATGAAACACATCCTTGCACTCACCAGTGATAATTTGTGGACTGAGAGAATAGAAAACCTCATCTCTCCTGGATTTCTTTTTTGCTGGATCAAACTGTTTATACTCACCATTATTTTCTTTCTTTCTTGGCATTATTAACAACAATCAGCCTATAATTGATAGAAACTTTTAACATAAATTATTTTTCAACATTTCAAACTGATGAAAATTAAATAACTGTCTAAACACTTATGCCAACTCCTACAACAAATTAGAACAATTTAAAGGGTGTAGTTTAGAATTTGATAGTTTGTGCTTTGAACCAGTGCTAATGCTAGCTTGTAAATTTGCAAATGTGTGTCGACATCCAAGACGGCTGACAAAATCAAATCCTGGCAAATTGTTTTTAAGTAAAAAAAAAATATGTGTAGCCTATAAACTATTTTGTAATTAGAAATTATCACAATTGCCATACATGAAATGGGCTGACTTGGCACGTCATCGAGATAAGCTGAGATTGCCATGGAAATGCCATTGTAAATATGCACGACTATTGATTTTAAAACATTTTTCCATTTATTTGGATGACAGTGCTTCATAAATCCTCCAGTCATGTCACTACCCATCTCCATTAATTCCTCATGCCAAAATGGAACCAAAACTGGGGTCATTTGCCTCTGCACAATGTCTAGTTAAGTCAATATGTTGATTTTACATTCTCTTTTTTGCATTTGTGGAAATCCAGGTCGGCAAACAAAATGGCACAACAAACACACATTTGACTAAGTTTCAAGAGGATATCATCAACTTGTGTTTACTATGCATGTTGAAGATTATACATATTCAAATCTTTGAAAAAAATATCAATAGGGTGTACAGGGGAGTAGTTCCTGTGATTCAGTTTAGGCGAATTTTAGCATTTTTTTAGTGTTTACTCCAGCTATTATGCATCAAACATGATATAATCATAGGAATCTTTTTTTCAACAAATTACCCATGTAAAGACAAAAATAAAAAGGGGTGAATGGTGTCTATCGGATGTATAGTTTAGGAGCTATGTTGATTTTACATTCTCTTTTTTGCATTTGTGGAAATCCAGGTCGCCAACCAAAATGGCACAATAAATATACATGTGACAAATTTTCAAGTGGACATCACCAACTTGTGTTTACTATGCATGTTGAAGATTATAAATATACAAAGCTTTGAAAAAAATATCAATAGGTTGTACAGGGGAGTAGTTCCTGCGATTCAGTTTAGGCGAATTTTAGCATTTTTTTGGTGTTTACTCCAGCTATTATGCATCAAACATCATCTAATCATAGGAATCTTTTTTTCAACAAATTACACATGAAAAGACAAAATTAAAAAGGGGTGAATGGTGTCTGTCGGATGTATAGTTTAGGAGCTATGTTGATTTAAATTTTCCATTGTTCACAATGGAAAATCCAGGTTCGCTTTTTAAAGATGGTCAATAAAAACGTATATGGGACAATAATTTTCTTTGGGGCCAACACAATCTATTTACTAGACACATTAAGGAGTAAAAAAAAGTTAGGTTAAAAAATATATCTTTCGGGTGCATGGGACACCCCCCTTCCTACTAGACTACTGCAACAAGTTGTTTTAATCCACTACTCCCCACCACTTGGACAAATAACCAGAAACAATACTCTTGGATGCAGTTTGAGTAGACTTTGTTGTTTGTGGAATAAAAACTGCTCCTTCAGGTAAAGGTGCTTTATTTGTCATCAATGCATGTTCACATGCAAGAATGAAATTAGTTTTCTGCATTTGACCCATCACACATGAGAAACACCCAAGTGGAGCAGCAGGCAGCTATGTGAGTGACTGGGGAACAGTTGGGGATTGGGTCTCTTGCTCAAGGACACCATCACATGTGGGCATGGCAGGGAGCTGAACCTCTGACTTTCTGGTCCCAAGTCAGCTCTACCACTACACCACAGCTGTCCTCAACTTGGGTCCAGTTCTGTTATAGATACGGAAGGGGTTTAGGGTTTCAGGTGTATCTACCTTCAAAGAGCGTGTCTTTTTCCGTTCAGAGAGAGGAAACTTTATTTGATTTTCCAGAGAGTTGGGTCCAGTTTTCACCTCCTGTATCATGATCCCACTAGTCCAGTTAACCACATTGGAGGCTGTTTGAAGTTATTCTCTTCAGATTGTCCCACTCAAGATGAAACACATCGTTGCCCTCACCAGTGATAATTTGTGGACTGAGAGAATAAAAAACCTCATCTCTCCTGGATTTCTTTTTTGCTGGATCAAACTGTTTATACTCACCATTATTTTCTTTCTTGTGTTTCTTTGGCATTATTAGCAACAATCAGCCTATATTTATAGAAACTTTTAACATAAATTATTTTTCAACATTTCAAACTGATGAAAATTAAATAAATGTCTAAACCCTTATGCCAATGCCTACAACAAATTGCCAGAATAATTTAAAGGGTGAAGTTTAGAATTTGATAGTTTGTGCTTTGAACCAGTGCTAATGCTAGCTTGTAAATTTGCAAATGTGTGTCGACATTCAAGACGGTTGACAAAATCAAATCCTGCAAATTGTTTTTAAGTAAAAAATATGTGTAGCCTATAAACCATTTTGTAGTTAGAAATTATCACAGTTGCCATACATGAAATGGGCCGACTTGGCACGTCATCGAGATAAGCTGAGATTGCCATGGAAATGCCATTGTAAACGCACGACTATTGACTTTACAAAATTTTTCCATTTATTTGGGTGACAGTGCTTCATAAATCCTCCAGTCATGTCACTACCCATCTCCATTAATTCCTCATGCCAAAATGGAACCAAAACTTGGGTCACTTGCCTCTGCACAATGTCTAGTTAAGTCAATATGTTGAGTTTACATTCTCTTTTTTGCATTTGAGGAAATCCAGGCAACCAAAATGGCACAATAAACATACATGTGACTAAGTTTCAAGAGGTTATCATCAATTTGTGTTTACTATGCATGTTGAAAATTATAAATATACAAAGCTTTGAAAAAAATATCAATAGGGTGTACAGGGGAGTAGTTCCTGCGATTCAGTTTAGGCAAATTTTAGCATTTTTTTGTGTTTACTCCAGCTATTATGCATCAAACATGATCTAATCATGGGAATCTTTTTTCCAACCAATTACCCATGAAAAAACAAAAATAAAAAAGGGGTGAATGGTGTCCATCGGATACGAGCTATCTTGATTTTACATTCTCTTTTTTTGCATTTGTGGAAATCCAGGATAGCAACCAAAATGACACAATAAACATACATGTGACAAATTTTCAAGTGGATATCATCAACTTGTGTTTGATATGCATGTTGAAGATTATAAATATACAAAGCTTTGAAAAAAATATCAATAGGGTGTACAGGGGAGAAGTTCTTGCAATTCAGTTAAGGCGAATTTTAGCTTTTTTTTTTTTTGGTGTTTACTCCAGCTATTATGCATCAAACATGATATAATCATAGGAATCTCTTTTTCAACAAATTACCCATGAAAAGACAAAAATAAAATGGGGTGAATGGTGTCTGTCGGATGTATAGTTTAGGAGCTATGTTGAATTAAAATTTTCATTTTTCACAATGGAAAATCCAGGTCAGCCATTAAAGATGGTCAATAAAAACATATATGGGACAATAATTTGCTCTGGGGCCATCACAATCCATTTACTAGACACCTTAAGAAGTACAAAAAGTTAGATTAAAATATATAAATATATCTTTCAAGTGCATGGGACCCCCCCCCACCCCTTCCTACTAAACTAATATGAATGAAAAGCAAAGCTGTACATGTTTAGAAACTGAAATGACTCCAAATAGTCTCCATCAGAGGTTATAGTCTGTCAATCATTTACAGGGAACTACACGATAACAGGATGAGGAACTGTCGAGCTGTTCCAGTGAATAAAAACGTTCCTGTTCAGCATTTAGTTTTAGCTTCTCTGAAGCCAAGCTGCTTGATGGACAAATAAGGTACGTAACACCTACTTAGATCTTTTGTTGTTTATGTTGTCAGGATCAGTCATTTTAAAGGCAGCTAAATAAGCTTTGCTTGCAAAATCTTTATGCTAAATAATGTGTCAGTGCGATTTTATGTTAAAATGTTAAAACTGAGAACTACTTTTTGTTTGTATTTATTGAAAAAATAACTGGCATTACTTCCTTTGTTTCTGATTTTTCCTCTTATTTTGAATATTTAACTGATAAACGTAACCTTGATATAATAGTTTGGACAATTATTCGTTTTTTGTCAAGAATAAAGCCTTTACTTTTTGTGACTCTGAATGAAACAATTTTTCTTAATATGAATGAAACAAACAAAAGATAAAACTAATGATTCTGCAGAATCACCTAAATGTCAATTTCTTACAAAGGGTCTGTCACACTGTAACATTTTAAACAATTTGTCAACTCACAAACATTTTTAATGTCTAAATTACAATAAAAGTAACATATTTGTTAGCATTACATGCCTATAAGAGGCTTCCAGTTAATTTTTTTAAACCATCTTCAACGTGAATAACTTTAACATTTTCATGGGTCAGCATAAGTTGTCTAAAACATTTGTATAACAAAGAATCAAAAACAAATTAATGTCCTTTATTTTGTAATATTTATTTAAAATTGTAAAGACATCTAAAGCAACACCTGCAGTTTAAGTGATACTGGTGCTCTTTACAGATTAAGGACCTTATCTTGTATTTTAAATTGTTGTGCGTTTTGTCTCTTAATTTGTATAGTTGCATTATGTCACTTTATGGATCATTTGTTATTTTTTAGTCTAATTTGGTCATTTTCTGGCCCTGTATGTTAGATATTGTCATAATATGCTTTTCTTTACATGTCTTTCGACCTTTTGAAAGTAGATATTAGATTAAATATTCCCAGAACATCCAATCAAGCATTTAGCTTTGATAACTGTTGAAAACACAAACAGTGTGTCTATTGAACAACATCTAACAAAACCAAACATTTAGCACATGAAGACCTTTTCTCAGTCAACAACAGATTAAGACTTTTTTCATGAGTTGAGATGTTATTGTAAACCAAAGAGCTTTATTTGTTGATTATAGCAGAGTTTTACAGTATGTTAATCCTTGATGTTATATTTAGGTTCGATTTTCATACAGGTATAACTTTTGTTGTCAAACTGCACCTTTTTGACCTTCAGTAATCAGCAGTGAAAAAAATGTCCCCGTCCACACCCAATTCTATCAGCAGTCTAGTTTCTAATGTTTAACTTGTTAAATTTTAAAAGAGGCTTTAGGAACCTGTTGCTGCCTGCTTCCTGCTGTGAAATGTTTGCTGAGTGACATTGATTCTGTTTGCTGATTTTAATAAACGTGTTTGTTTTGTTTCCTCTCACAGTGACTGTATGTGTGTTTGTTCAGGTAACATTTGTGGGGAAAAAAAGGAGCGCGAGGGATAAAATTTCCTCTAAGCAGGAGAGATGGTGGACGATCAGCTGCAGTCAGACTTAAAAGCCACACCATGACTCTAACAGAGGCGACACCATCTACCTGGACGTAATCTCTGGATATCCCACTCTGAAGTGGTTCAGAGCTCACCTGGTATCTGAGTCTCTGTTGTGGCTTTTCTGCAATGACTTATCTGGCTCATACAGCCCATTCCCAGTTTGGAGCCCTCTGGCTGTCCTTTGTGGGCTGGATCCTCACCAGTATGTCTCTGGGACTCATCCAGTGGCGGGTGTGGCAGGTTTCGGACACAAAGGTCATCACCTCTGGTGTAGTCTGGGTGGGGATCTGGAGGGCTTGCTTCAACAGCTACACTGATGTGAGTGAAGGCTTCAGGAACATGCATTGCAGGTACATCAGCCTGAGGGAGGCCTTCACGCCTCCAGAGATCGCAGCCGGTCAGGTTCTCATGCTCCTGTCTCTGATCGTGGGCCTCAGTGGCAACGCTGGTGGGGTTTACGCCATGAGGAATGCCTACTTTGGGGTGGGGAAAAACTCATCAATCCTACTAAGTTTCATCAGCACTGTGGTCCTGTGCCTGTTGGCTGCTGTGCTGTCTCTCATTCCACTGATCTGGAACCTGAGCTCAGTTGTGACAAATCAGACCATCCAGTTCCCATCTGAGTTTAAACTCCCACAGGCACCAATCTCTCAGATAGTGGGCAGCGGAATTACTGTGGGGTTAGTGGGGTCGATTTTCATGGTTGTGTCTGGGATCATTTTCTGTTCCTACAGGTTACCAGAATTCAGGATGCATAATTCTGTAAGAGAACAGCTGCATCAGAACAACTCATCCATATCAAAACCAAACAGCGACCATGCTGTTAGCTCTAGGGGAAGAGATAACCCAACCTTTGAGATTCATGAATACTTTTGATCCATTTGCATGGACTTCTTGATGTGAAAGACATTATTACCCGAGGAAACGCAAACTAAAACTACCTGCAGAGTATAATCCATTTATCTCACGGCTGAGAGATTTTATTAAATGTTTTACTATTAGGGAACACTAAATTCAGGCTAAAACACAATTATTCCTGGGTAAAAAAATATTATTGCTATAAAAGACTGATAACTGCAGCACCACCTGCTTTCCAAGCTTGTATAAGACTGTTTTAGAAGCTGTTACAGTAAAATACATTTAACATTGCATAAAGATCTGACTCAACAGCTTGTTGACAAAGAAATACAGACATATTTGATTCTATAAGTGAACTTGTTTCTGTAGCACATACTTCTTATTCTTGCTCTTTATCACAGCAGCAGAAACTCTGTCGAATCTCATTACATCTTGTTTTTTTGTCCACAAAACAGAATAAAAGCAGAGTTTTATTCCTGCTGCTAGACTGAAAACACCTCAGCACTATTACAGTGGCTTGCAGAAGTGTTGACCCTGCATGTCAATATTTCTGTGTTGTTGCCTTACTAAATTTATTTTAAATAACGTTGTTTCACCACCTTTTGCACAGAACATCATGACCAAACAGACGAACAGTGCTTGCTTATGGTCCATTTTTTTAGGCTATGTGCAGAACGTGGCCACCATCTCAAAAGCTGCCAAACTGGAAATAAATGAGTGTCCTATGACTTTTGATTCACCTTGTATGCTGAGATCATCTGACACTAGGTTGCACACAGGTGTATCTTATTTAATGTTTATCTGATTCAAGCTAATGGTTGAGACCTCAAAGGACAGGGTGTGAATACATATGCACATCCTTTTCCATTTTTTAAATATTGAAATATTTTTTGCCCTATTCATAATGTTTTTATAGAACTTTTGCTTTTAATACAATGAAAATCCATTTAAAATTCAAGTTATGGGACAACAAAATGTGGTACTGTTGCAACTCAGAGCTCATTTACTTCTTGTTTTAAATGGTTTTTTTTTTTGTTTGCTCATTATACATTTTTGTTTCTGTACAAGGCTTTATTACCAATATTTTTCTTTTGTTAGTTTATTTATTTATTTATTTGTTTTACTTTTTTAATAGTTTCTCTAAAATGGTTTGAGGTTCAAACCATTTTAGAGAAAATGATAAAAAAGTGAAACAAAAAAATTTTTTTATTTTGTTTTTAATTTTTGAATTTATGTACAACTGTTCTAGAAGTTTTGTTCAATATTTGTTGAAGAGAAACTAATTTTATTTTAAATTGGACATGATCACACTATTTTCTTGACACAAAATGATTGAAATTATGTCAAGTTTAAATCTTTCACAATTTAATCCTGTTGATTTAGCATGTTCTGTATTATTTGCAATACGGTCAGTTTGACAAAAATATCAATTGAAAATCTGTGGTATTTAAAGTACTTAAAAATAAGTTAAACAAATACCTTAACAGAAAAAGACGTTGGTAAATTGAATATCACTGATTACAAAAGCATTTAAGTAAAAGTCTGAAAACTGCTCAAAATACTAACAAAAGTAAAAGTACTTTTACACACACTCTGAGAAAGGAAGTGTTGAATTTAAACAAACTGGTTCCACTGAACAGCGTTGAGTAAATTTAGCAATTTACACATTTTATTTAAAAAACATGCAAATTGCTTTACAGTTACTATTTAGTTGAACCAGCTGACATAACTTAGTTAAGTAAATTCAGCACTTAATTTTTTAGCATAAACCAGTCCTTTCATGAGTTTGGTCATATTTAAATTTGTAAGATGTAAAAGTATCCTTTTTAGGTTTTGAATGTAATGAAATAAAAGTAAAAGTTACAATTTTTAAAAAATACGTGGTAAAATCCTCAAAATATTTCTTAAAAACTTTAACAAAGTAAACTTATTACATTTTCATAAAAAAACATACAAAAATGTGTTATATACAATGAGTAAAATATTTAGATATCAACTTTCAAAACAAACTATTTCAGTACTAAGGTTTTCATACAATAAATACACGCACTGGGCTTTTTTCCCTTTAAATTTTTATTCAAATAAAAAATAATAATTCAAACCATCTGCATCAAAGTTCCTCTGGTGATTAAGTCCCCCCACCATCCTCGGAGCTCACCTGAACTGATCTCTTATAAATACTTTAACAGATAATTGAGTTTGGGGGTGGAATCCAACAAGACAATATTTAAAAGCACAGGTTTTGATATTGTTTCATAGCATGCATCAGTGGGAATGAAACTATGTTTTATTTTTTTGGCAGTAGAAACATTTACATCTATGTTATACCAAGCTTAATTTCATCCGATTTGAAACAGACAAATGTTTTAAGTTCTTATCAAATTGTGTGGGCTGGACTTAATGTTGGGGACTTTAGAACATACAAGAACACAAGTTTCATTCCAACTGTGGGGGAAAAAAGCTTTAAAAGAATCCCTAAAATAAGAAATATTCTGTTCAAGGAGCTTTTAACAAACTGCTTGAAGAACAAAATTATCAGTTTTAAAATATCTTTTGTCAGTACGAAAAGTGTTATGTATATATTTTAACATTACAGAATGAAGTTTTTACATTGTTCAAGCATACTGATACTGAGCACAACATATACCAAAAAAGTACAGTTAAAAAACTAAAATGACTGAACTTTCAACTGTGACTGTATTGTTATTTTATGATTTCACATGGGTGCAGATCCGTAACACGAGCACAGATGGGCTGTAAATGATTCATAACTACTGTAACAATGGCACACTACTTTTCACTGTGAGCACAAAGTGAACTGCTTAACTGCCTTAAATAAAAATATAAACCAAGACGTGCGTGTGTGTGACAGGTTTGATGTAAAACTTTGTCCTCTGCTCTACTAACACAACATTGTCATGAGTTACACAAAACCAGTTTTTAAATGTCCTGGACAAAAACAAATTTGAACAAAATGATGGATTGCATCAAATGAAACTTGAAGCAGAGCCTGGTAACTTTAATGAAAATAAATGCTCATCAACATTGTTGATGTTAAAACTTGAAACACACATTCTGGTTCTAATAAAAACTGCTTGTTTCATAACAAGAATACCATCAATCAAAGAAATCAGTGAAAACAGCCAATTAAAACAAAGTATTTTCTTGTGATTTCAACTGTTGCCACAGTTACCAGCTGCTCCTGCAGGGTGGCAGAGCTGAACAGAGGGACGCCAAGGGGGAGTTTGTTTGAAAACGATCACTCCGTGTCAGACAGCAGAACATCTTAAAAGCCTTGAATCCCAACACAAAGTCCTGCCAGCCCACATTTGAAAGTGTTCTGATCTCAGCTGGTCAAACGAACACACACCACATTATGTGTCCAAAACTTCATGTCATGAGACCTGCTAAAAGTAGCAGCAGTACATTTAGCTTGGCAGTGGAGAAGATGAATAAGCAGAATCAATTTTAAAATAGATTTTCAATAGAACAATTTTTAAAAATGCAGTTTTTTACAGGTTGCAAGTTATTCCAAATCATAACTAACCCTGCTGAGCTGACAGCTTGGTTTCTCTGCTTTCCTGCTCACCAGTCAAAACATTTACATCTTTCAGAAACAAGAACCAAGGCCTTACAAGTCCACTGGTAATATGAGAAATTCAGTTTTCAGTAACATTTTCAATTTGACCACACTCGACTCTTGACTCGACTGCTTACTTTTGACTGGTTATTAGAAAAGTTTCCAAAGCAGGAGTGATAGCTACACATCTAAAAGAATGATGTTTACACATGAAACATTTTAAACTGAGTAAAACTGTTGGGCTTTCGGAGAGTAAAACTATTCTGTTTTTATGTGGACAAACATTTTAATTTTTTACACAACTGGAAAGAAAAATGTGTACGTTTAAAATGTTTTGAACTTTGGGCAACATTTTTACAAGACAAAATTTCCACCTTTTTAACAAAAAAAAAAAAACAAGTACAATAAAAAAAACATGAAACAGTTAAGAAGCAGAGGATTGTCCGTGTGGATTTGAGAATAAGACTGATCGCTGTTTGACAACACGAGCCTCGTTGCATCTGCAGAACTAGAGACCTGCTGTCCATCCACCTCCCTGTTCTCACATGTGGAAGCCCAGTTTGAGTTCATATTGATCCAGATGGTTTGAAACTGAACAAAAACACATTCATACAAAACAAAATAAAATAATATAAAAAAAGATTGAAAAATGCAGGTTTAATCGTTCCAAAATCCACCAGTCTGTTCTTGATACACCTCGATGACATCTTCGTCCTCCATCCCCAGCTGTCAACAATACACAGCAGATGATGATGATAATCTTGTCTTTCATAAATTTTTGCTTCCCTTTGCCTAAAATATTCTTGCTACTCCTTAAAATATTATTCCTACTCAAGATGTGTTGCAGAAATAAGATGCAAATAAAAACTTTCAATAGTATAGAGTGCTTTTAATTAGTTTATATTGATAAATAATCAAATCTGTTGAGTTAATTCTGTTTGTGACCTTTTTTAGGATTTGTCATGGACTAATTATTTATCTGTTTTCCCCTTGACACTGTTCATCTCTCATATCTTTCTGGAGGCTCCAGTCGCCTCCATAATACACAGCCAATAAAATACAGCATGCCAAACATTACAACAGTACATTTGGTTATGATTGGTTGTAAACTGACACATGGTTTGGCATGCTGTATATTATTGGCTGTGTGCATTATGGAGGCGACTGGAGCCTCCAGAAAGATATGAGAGATGAACAGTGTCAAGGGGAAAACAGATAAATAATTAGTCCATGACAGGATTCCACAAACACAGCAGTATAAATTCAGCCAAACATTTGGACCTAATTATGATCATTACACAAACCACAGCACTCTGGATAAATAGGTTAGTTTTGCGTTTGGGTGTAAAAGAGTGAGGTCCATGTGTATGTCTATTTGTCAGCAACATGTGGTGATGAAGCTATTAGAAATATGTTTACCTCTTTTGGAGTTTGGTTGTCTGCAATTCTCTGTCCCTCGAACAGAAACCTTAGCGTGCTTGCAGGAACACCCTGCAAAAAAAAAAAAAAAAAAAAAAAAAAAAAAAAAAAA